TTATCGCTCAGACTGTACCAAAAACACTCTGGTGGTGTCACCAGGGAAAGTTGCGCAAACTGCACACATATCTCTGTGTGCCCGTCATCTGTAGAAAGCATTACGGAGTAACTGCTGACTTTACAGACACTACAGCCAGGAAATGCACATTTTTGTGTGCTGAAGTGTGCTGAAGTCTGGTAGCAGCCCTCTGTGCGTCCCCAGTGGAGTTTGGCAGACCCTGCTGTAACTGTATCTTGTTTGGGTTTGCCCAGAGGAGGGAGAGTCATGACTCCCATGTCCTTGCTGGTGTTACTGATCCTGAGATGACAGGGGAACAACAGGGCCTGTCTGCTACCATCACTCCACATCTCAGGCTGTTATCCCATTCACCATTAGAATAGCCCTTGGACAAGGCTGTACGATACAGGGAGGTGGAGAAAAGATTCAGCTAATGGATAAGTGATGATCCTTTATAGAAACGGCTCGGAGGCAAAGGGAGAAGAAGAAGAGGACCCTGCAGAGTCCCAAACATGACTGCATGCTGTGCCATGGTAGGGTTCCTGCTGCCATCCTGCCTTCCATTGCTGCTACACAATGTCTACTCCTGGCATAACCAGCTGGACTTGGCCTTGGAGTTGCCCTTGCACCATCCCATACCAATCAGCCCTTGTGTAGAAGTCATTAGTGAGACTTGTTCCCCCCTGGCAAGAGTGGCTACAGAGCTCTTTATTTAGAAAGATCACTGCTCAGCTCAGGAGAGATGAGACCAGGCCTAATGAATGGGGCTTTAGTTCTAATAGCCTGCCTGGACCCCCAGGGAGCAAACCAGCAAGGGATCTGACATGTGTAGCTTTGGGATGTTGAGAATTGTGGTCCAGGCACGTTTTGGAATGGTTGTCCACGTATTTGGGAATGCAGCACGTATTTGGGAATGCAATACAGTTCCATGGAAGCCATGTCTAATATAGGGCTTGAAATTCATTTTTGGGACAAACTAGAAAGTAGAATGTCAACAAAACCTTATTACAGTTAGGAATAAGAGCTTTGAAAAATTCTGATGAACACAAATGTTTGGGTGCACAAAAGTGCATATATGTATATTTATATATAATAATAATAATAATAATAATAAATGACTGTTCTCGGGTACCAATCTGCGGCTTATTGCCCAAAGGTAAAGCCGGATCGGCACAACAAATCAGTATGAGTCTTTAATGTTCTTGTACAGTCCGTTCCACTTTTCCTTCTGCCTTGCCTGGTCTCGTAGCCACTTAAGAACGTAGGCCTCGGCTTTAATGTTCTGCTGGAAGTACAACTTGACGTCGTCTAACAGACAGTCCAGAAGACCTCCGCGGGGTCTGCCTTTCCTTGGCGCGAGCTTTCTGCTAAAGGCGATGTTGAGGGCCTTTTGTGCAGGTGAGTCAGGTGACATGCGGAGAATGTGTCCGAAGAAAGTCCATCTGCGCCGGTGGACTTCATTTTTCATTTATATATACCCAGTTACATATATTGCGGGTAATGTGCATTGCAGCTTTCATGCTCTTGCCTGTTTAATTCTTGAGTGAAGGTGGAGAGTTTTGTCACCGATGCATGCAGTGGGAACTTGTTCGTGTGACTTGATTGCAAGGCTTCAGTTGTTTTGAATAACTCTCCAGATGGATATTAGTGGTTCAATTTCAATGGAAAGTTTGCCAATCCACTTGAATTTCAATTAGTTTCAATTCAAATGGAAAATCATGTTGGATATCCTCTAAATTGACATCTCGTTTTGTACATCTGTTGATGCATTTTATAACACGTAGAGCCTGTGTTCCAGACTTTCATAGTGTTGTCACAAAACAACACATTCCAAAACAGTGACGCTTTTAATCGTGTAGTCACAACACTGGAGCTGATATTTGTGTTTATTTGTATGGGGAAAGGATACAACTACTTTTGAAGCAAATCTCAAATCCTATATCCTTTAGTGACCTTTACCCTACCTAACCGTGTAACTTATGCAGACTTGATGCCCTAAAGCTACTCCAGGGAGAAGACTATATTGTCTGTAGACTATTGTATATATTATAAATCACATACAAAGTGATGTTTGGCTGTGGGAGACATCTCCTGCACCAGAAGCTGTGAACTTGGCACTGACCTTGGGCCTCTCAGGTTTGTTCCCAGATTCCTGGCAGGTTTTGCTGTGGGGATGCACTAATCAAAATACCCACCTGGGATTTACTGGCATATTTTTGAGTTAGCAGAAAAAACATGAACAACTTGCAATTTGTCAAGATGAAAGGATTCAATCAGTACAGTGAAGTACATGTTTCAGAAAACAGAAATATTTTGAAACCTGGATATTACGTCTGCCAGTTGGAGGTCAGGGTTAGGAGGAGGGAGGGTATGTTTGGATTCCTGCCATTGCCAGACCTCTGGTACTACTGTAACATCTAGTAGCAGGCATTTGTAGACTTGCTGACAACTTCCTTTGGTGAGGGAATACAAAATTGAGAAGGGTTTGTCACATCTTTTTTTTGTAGAGGTTCAGGGTTGCCCCACAATCTTGGTGTAGTGGAAATGGGGCCTGAGTGCACCCAGTATTGCTTAGCAGCTGTGACATCTGGCTGTTTACCTTATATTAGCTGTACATGTTATAGAAACTTACACATGATACATCTCCACCTCCCCAAGGCCCCAGTATACAGCCTGCTGACTTACCCTGTATCCTGGGGGTATTTAGCAGTTAACTCTACAGCTGTGAAGGTCTACTACTACTAGTATGTATCAGAATTCAGAATTAGGAAACAGTCATGGTTTGGTACTGACACAGTGACAGGTCCTTTCTACCAGTTATTGCTGATTTATGTTTCATTATTCTATTATTTTTGTGCTGAGTTTCCATATTTCTCAAATTTTGATAAAATAGGAAGATAAACAAGAAAACAAAGTCTGACTCTGAGGAAAAGTCTGCACCTTACTACACTTAGTTTAAGGAATAAATTAAGATTGATTCAAGGTTTTTTCCCAGCCCCTTCTTCCAGGCTTTAATTTCCCATTTCCCATTAGAAAATGTCAGAAAAACTAACAAATGAATTGCTATGGCCTAATGATGTGCTGAACTGGTGCCATGTTCATAAGTCAGTTGTAATGCTACCAATTATAGCCCAGTTCCATGTACAGGGCAGGTGTGAGATTACCAGTAATTCTTTGGTTCCTTTCTCAACATATGGCTCTTTATAGATTTTGCAATATACGTGCAATAAAAGTCAGATTGACGACAAGAAGTAAAAGAAAACGAGCAACCAGACACCATAGCCTGGGGATGGTGAAGTCTAATGGAAGTGCTTATTTGCTGCAAGGTTATCTTTTAGATGTGACTTAGCAAATGAACTGAAAATTCATTTCATTCAAAGAAAGTTATTTCTGGTTTATAAACAGCCCAGGGACATGGGTCTGTATTGGGGGCATTACTAAGGTGAGCTTGACTGGGGTGTGTTTGGTGTATTATTTTCTATAGTATAGAAATCCATCAATAACCAAAGCCTAATAGTCAAAAGCCAGGGTGTCTGTCAGAGACGAAGTCATGGTGTCATGTTCTCAGCATGAAAAGGATTTTGTTTTCAGTGAAGAATGTTGTTTTGTAAGGCCTTGTGAGTTGTCCTTGGTCTGAAAGGTTAGAAGGTTAGCTTACTGTAATTTAGTGTGAAGAGGGACTATGAAGGCAGTGGTGGAAATTCTCAAGTGCAGGTAATTACCTTCGCCAAGAAGGTTATGTTTTCGTTGGCGTTCGTGTGTCTGTGTGTGTGTGTGTGTGAGCACGGTAACTCAAGAAGGCTAAGATGGATTGTCTTGATACTTGGTAGGTGGGTAGGTCTTCATGAGACGTGGAACTGATTAGATTTTGGGCCCCCTAACGGCTTGTTATGGTACTGCAGCTGAACTTCCGGTTTTGATATCTTGTGATCTAGACATGCTAGGGTGACGAAATTTGGATGGTAGGTAGCTCTTGTGCTGGGGAACAAGTGACGTGAGTTTGGACCCCCTAGCGGCTTGCTCTGGAATTGCAGGGGCATTAGTTGAAAAATGTTTAAAGGCGGATAACTCAAGAACCGATTGATGGATCGTCGTGATTTTTGGCATGTAGGTAGCTGAAGTGATGCTTGACATAATGTTATTACAATTATGCAAATATTAATGTAATTTGCATAATTAATGAGGAAAGTGTATATATCAGCTGCATTCCATGATAGGACTATTCAAGCTTGTGATATATGTAATGCAGAACGGCAGAAATACAGGCAGATATCGATTATGCAAATGAAGACTTAATTTGCATAATTAACGAGAAAATGTTATAATTACATAGTGGTAATGTCTGGAATTTCATACTTGGGATATTTGAAAGTTATGTTAGGGTGAACATTATCAAACATAATTTATTCAAATAAGGACCTCATTTGCATAATTTATGAGGACATGCTATAATGGCATGCATTGATAAGATAAGACTGTCTTCTGGTGTAGAATATGATCAACAGATATAATTGATGCAATATAGGATCCTATTCGCACAATCAGGGGGATTCATCTATAATTTCTTAGTCATAAAGGCTAACATCATTTGGCGAAGGTATGAGATCGTGGAACTCTAGTATTTAAACTGTGCCAGTATTTCTGGTGTTGATATATATACCTAACCTCCACAGGGCCATGTACTGGGTATACATGGATTTTTGTTTACAGCACTGATTGTTACCACCTGTGAAATGCTAAATAAAGAATTGAAATGATGCCCTTACAAATTACAGTACAGGGCTACTGTGGTCAGGAGAAGGGAGTTCATTCATGAAAAATGCCACAATACCCATGAATTCTGAGTAGAACATGATTAAGGAAATCTTCTGTCTTTATCTGTTTTTTACAGGAGAAGTTTGGTTAGAGAGAAGAAATGGCCCAAGACAAATGTTATAATGATGATAGTAACACCTCATTGTTCACTGAAGAAGATAATCCCCTTGTCTGTTTTTCAACAGAAGATGTTTGGTAAGAAGAAGAAGCGGCCAGAGATCTCGGCCCCCTCAAACTTCGAGCACCGCGTGCACACCGGGTTTGACCGCGACCACGGGGAGTATGTCGGACTGCCGGCCCAGTGGGCCAGCGTGATTGGCTCCCCGAAGGAGACGGCACAGCCGAGCGCCATCAGGCCGCGGCCGCTCATCGACCCATCATGCATCACTCCGGTAGACCTCAGTACGCTGAAGGTAGGTTGTGGTTTGTATTTTTACTCTTTTTGTATATATACATTCCAATAAAATACATTAAAAAATTTGTCACACAATACAATAAGGAGAATTTACGGAAAATGGGTGATGCAAAAAGTAGAAGAACCCTAATATACTAACTATAATGCACTGAAAAAGGGTAATTTATTAGGAGACAATCATCACTAACAGTATCAGTAATTTTTGCTTCTAGCTTATCAATATCATAAGGGTGTTTTTCTATTAAGGTTCTGCCAACTCAGAGATGCATAGAGGGGAAACAACCCTTCCTTTCCTTACAAACAAAGTGAGATGGATTCAGCCTCGCTGCAAACCTTTCATTATGTTGAAAGACATGACACAAACCATGAACAATTCCTTACCGTATACTCCAGATAAATCAGTTTATAAGGTTCTTAAAGAAAATCCTAGCGGGGGAGTTTATAGTCTTTAGTTGATCCTTCCTTCCCCAGCCAAAACTGATAGTTTATTTTTACTGCTGCCTTATTCAGTGTTCAGAATTCCCCCAGGCACACATTAGGTCTCTGTGGAAGAAGCCAGTACCACTATCAGTGCTCATGGCGGTAATGTACAGAAGTGTGGGTCTGTTTGGTACAGATAAGGGGATCAAAAAGACTCTGGAGATGATAGCTTCATGACAGACTGGTGGGAACAAGATGGGGGCAGCCAGGAAGAAGACCTTATACAACACTAATGTAACTTCATGGTTGTAGGATTTAACATGATTGCTACACTAGAGTATCAACATGAAAACAGACTCTGAGGAGAAAATCTGTATCATGGTACATACTGTTTAAGGAGTAAACAGAGTCATATATTTGCAAAATTTCCTTGAGGGCATGTTGGTCCTAGAACTGAGAAGCTGAGCCGTATAGGCCCTGGGAACAGTCTGGCAACCAGGCTAGGAGAGTCCTGCTGCTCTTTGGTTTGATAGCTGTTTTTGTCGTTGAAGAAAATGCATGTGGACAGAGCAGATATTCCTAGCAGATGAGGTGCATGCCCAGGATACTTACTGTCCGATGGGACGTGGGAAATGTCCTAACCAGAGACAGGCCACATACAGGACTATCCAGCCTTCTTAGGCTGCCAGGTTGTCTTGTAGAAAGCCAGTTTATTAGCCTGGAATCCAGACAGTTTGAAGTGCGTACACAGGCAGCTCTAGGCACCAGTGCCAACATGACCCTGAGGAAATTTTATCACAGCCGCCTCACTAACAGCTTTCCTATTACAAATTGACAAAGTCTGCAACCCAATTAGGCTATCCAATTTGCAACTAGGAAGTGAAAAATAAACAACTATACATCATTTCAAACCCTACTTTGATTCATAACCTTGACCCTTTACTCAGACAAATCCCTAAGTTGTCACATACATATTCTTGCACAGTAAATTTTGCAGTGAAAAACTGAACCAGTCCAGCTGAGAAAGTGACTAACCAGTGACAAGATAGTTGTGATGCTTTTAAACTTTTGTTTGCTCAATCTGACTTTGCATGTTATATTATTTTATGACTGCTTGGCTATATTTACCTCTGATGTTTGTATTGTTTGATACTTGAAAAGCTGCTAATAATAAAGCAAAGTAGAGCAGCCTTTACATGATCGAAGTAGTCTAACTCTAATGTATTTTTTTGGCTTTTGTTTATTGAACTATCTTTAAGTTTGTTCTTTTTTTATGACTGCTTGCTGCATATCCTTATTGTATGCCCTGCTACAGACAGTAATGTGCAAACCTAGCCAGGCTACTGAAGAAAAATGAAATAAACCATCCCCCCGAGATGAAAGCTTTTTTAAAGTTGATTTCCGTGCCCTTTGTTTGCCTAGCAGTCCTTTTGTTGTTATGCTACATGCTCCCTTATTCTGCACCCTGCCACAGACAGTTGTACGTGGGAGCAAAGCTGACTTATTGCCGGCGGAACCAGACAGTGGGCAGGCTTGGAAGGTTGGTTGGCAAACAGAAGACGCTGTATCTGTCTTGCTACTTCTCCAGTCATCAAGGTGTCTTGACCTCTGATACAGCTATATGGCTGAAGGACTCAAACTTTTCTACAATTCACTGGTTAAGCCATACATTTTGGCAATAGGTTTTTGGAAAAATACTCAACTTTTGTTTCCTTAACTTCACTGACATTTTGTTTTAGCTGCAAATTACTGGGTACAAACACAGAAATTCTCAGACTATAAATTGCAGGATGTTGAATTTGAAATGATAATCAAAAATTACCCCATTCATTGCCAAAAAGAAGAGCTGAAACAAGTGAGAATAAAAGTTTAGCATAAGTCACTTTTGAGTTTGAGCAATGTGAGTCCTGACGTTGTTGACTGTACCAGAAGCCAGCCACCCTGGAAACTGAGAAGTAACGGGACAGTTGACAGGTGTATCCGCCAGTGGACTCTTCCAAAGGTATACCATTCTCACCCACACTAACACACCTCCCCACTGTACCATAGACATAAACTCAACTGCAATGCTCTGTACAATCCTGAGGTCCCTCTTTTCAAGTTCATGCAGGGGTGCATGGCTATTGTTTGATTCCTAAATCTGTGGTAAGTTTTCCTTCTCGTTGTGGTGATAGCAAGAGAGAGAGAGAGGACAAGGCTTGTGCAGAGCATTGCTATGATAACCACATTGCCATGGTAATGCCATGGTGACCACATTACCATGGTAACCAAATGGCCATGATAACGACAAGTCTTGTCAGCCCCCAGTGTTCACGCAGTGGTGTGTTTTTGTGTGTGTTTCTATCACAGATGATAGTCCGGGGGAACAGTAAGCTGGACACGACCGACCTGGCGCACACCAGCCCGAACGGTTACGACTACCAGCAGCACCCCAACATCCGGAACCTGCAGGGTGGCGGCATCAGCGTGGCACGGTCTAACTCGCTGCGAAAGGACAGCCCGCCACCGCGCCGCGTGCCCAGGGACCGGGACATGCTGCACGACGGGCTCCCGCCTGGCCTGCAGGACCCCCAGCAGCCCCGCGGGTACGGCGGGCCGACTACATGAACGGCCGGTCTCAGCAGGACGGGAGGGGGGCGCCGCCACAGAACGGGCGCAGCCTGCAGGACGTGCGCGGGCAGCAGCCCTACACACGGGACGGGCGCGGGGACTATGCTTACAGCAACAGAGACACTTACCACGGGGACCTAGGGGGGAGGGAGAACTACAGTAGGGACTATCACACGTACAGCGCCGGGAGGGAGTGGGACAAACCTGACGGCAGGACGGCCTCCAGGCAGCAGCAGCAACCACAGGAGCCACGCACACCTACCAAGGTCCCACCTCCGGTCGCTCCCAAACCAAGGTCAGGATCAACTTTGGTCTCAATAGAAGATATACTAGTATACAGAAATGAACACAAATGTTGCCTGTCTATTTATCTGCTAGTGTTTTAGCAGTTTACTTTGGTTAGATAGTATTTTACCACCTTATCACACTCGGGTCTGTGACCTGTTTTTCATGTGTCCCTAGTCTATTCCATACCAAGACACTGCAATCCTAAAACAGACATGAGAAATTGGACAAATTGCACCGAATCTAATTTCTGTTTTCCACCCCACAGTTTACGATCGTCGACCCTCCCGCGGGACCCAGGGCCGGTCGTGCCCCCCTCTACAGGTGCCAAGCCTAGTCCCACCCACGTGCAGAAGATCACACTGTCACTACCGGGACACAAACAAGCAAACAGACCACAGCAGCCTCACAACCAAAACTACAGGGTAAGGCTCCTGTTTTCTGGATGGTTAATTTTAGAACGCTGTTGTAGGTTTTTCATACTGGAAAGTTTTAGGGTCTAAAATACATTTTTGTCTTAACTTTTTGCCTTGACTGCCTCCTCCTTCCAGGACTACCAGAACAGTCCCAGTGTGCCCCCACCTTCTGTACCCAATGCCAACCCTCCTGCCGCCACACAAAGTGCCACCACCCCCACCCAGCCCAAACCCCCGCAGGGCCCCACCCACGACCAGCGCGAGTCGCACGAGAAGTTCCGGGCGGCGCTCCAGACCGTGGTCAGCCCGGGAGACCCGCGCAACAACCTGGAGAACTTTGTGAAGATCGGGGAGGGGTCAACGGGAATCGTCTGCATCGCCACTGAGAGGGGCACGGGCAGGCAGGTGGCGGTGAAGAAAATGGACCTGAGAAAACAGCAGAGGAGAGAACTGCTGTATAACGAGGTGAGTGCTATCTACAGTCTTCCTTAATTAGAAATAGACTGAGCTGTGTAGAGGAGAAACATGCTCTTTTGTGACTGAGCTGTGTAGAGGAGATACATGCTCTTTTGTGAAGTACATCATTCAGATTCTTCCTCAAGTGGAAATTAATTTAGTTGTGTAGTTTTTGTAGTTTGTCATCGACAGCTAGCTCATGTTTCATATTCTTGCATTGCTGCTTATTATAAAAGATACAGCAGTTTGTATTAGCTTCCTACTAAAAGTGCCCTTGCTGTTCCAGGTGTCGATCATGCGAGACTATCACCATAACAACATTGTGGAGATGTACGACAGTTTCCTGGTGGAGGATGAGCTCTGGGTCATCATGGAGTTCCTGGAGGGCGGATCTCTCACTGACATCGTCACACATACAAAGTAAGCCACAGCTTTATGGCAAGGTTTACTAGTTGCATTGTTAGTAGTGTTCGTCTTGCATTCAGGAGGTTACGAGTTCAATCCCCATTCAATGAATACCAAAAACTTAAAAAACTGGTACATACTGCATATGTACATACTTAGCACACAGCATTTGGGAAACAGTATGTAAGTTGAACATACACACGACTACCAGAAGGCCATCTCTAACCACCTTGTTTCCCTTTGTTGATACAGGATGAATGAAGAGCAGATAGCCACGGTGTGTAAGGCAGTCCTGGAGGCGCTGGTGTTCCTCCACTCCTGGGGTATCATCCACAGGGACATCAAGTCAGACTCCATCCTGCTGGCACACGACGGCAAGGTGCATGGGTTTGCTATGGACAGTTGGTAGAACCATTGGTACAAATGCTTAGGACCTCTGTTGGAGACATTTTGTCTAAAACACAGTAACAGATTTGCCAAGGTTCTTGTGAAGTGAATTTTCTGTAATGCAGCACTGTTGTTGTGTCTAACATCATTCTCCTCCTTCTGAACAGGTGAAGTTGTCGGACTTCGGGTTCTGTGCGCAGGTGACCCCTGACCTGCCCAAGAGGAAGTCGCTGGTAGGCACGCCCTACTGGATGGCACCTGAGGTCATCTCCAGACTGCCCTATGGGCCAGAGGTCAGGATCACTAACTGTGTCTTAAAACCTGTAACCAAGACGGTTATGTTTAACCAGTGTCTGTTGGTTTATAAAGAGGATAATTATAAATTTTCTGTTTTTAGGCCACAGTATAAAGCATTTTTCGAAAGACTTGGACACATAGTTCATGAATTATAATTGTGACCATAACAGGCCCATGTTGAACTTTGGTACTCAGATTGAGTTTTGGTACATTCCATTTTTATCTGTGCCCCAGATTGACCTGTTGTCTCTTCCATGTTGACCTTTGCCCCAGATTGACCTGTTGTCTCTTCCATGTTGACCTTTGCCCCAGGTTGACCTTTGGTCCCTTGCCATCATGGTGATGGAGATGGTTGACGGAGAGCCGCCGTTCTTCAACGAGCCTCCCCTGCAGGCCATGCGCCGCATCAGAGACATGCCTCCTCCCAAACTCAAGAACACACACAAGGTGGGTACAGCAGGTCACGGGTTCAAATCCCAGCTGCCAAAGACTTGCATATGATACATACTGCTTTAATTCATTAGGTCATTGTAGTATTCAGTATTCAATTATGCAACTACTGGGGTGCATCTGTCTGAGGTGCATCTGTCTACTTCACCTGGTTGGACAATACAGAAGACTAAAAAATGACGCATGCTGCTTTCTCTTGTTTAGCATTCGGGAATTATGGGAAAGACCCTACTACATGTACTAGTTGACTAGCCCCCTATAGTGCTTGCACAATGTTGTGTTCTGGGGACTTTAGACGTGGAGATGGGCGCCGCCTTATATATGTACACTGAAAGGTGTTGGAAGGGTTTTCTGGCTTCTAGTGAGGACTTCAGGAAGCTTTTAAGGTCTGCTGTGTTTTGATCTGATTGCTGCCAACAAGACGCATCCTGCTTCTGGTCCTGAAATTCAGGAGCACAGGAAATGCCTTATTAGGCACAACCCTCCATGAAGTACACCAGGCTTCACAACAGCACAGCTCACCGATAAGTCAGTAGCAACAGGAAAGGGAAATAGTTATTTGAGAGTCCTTCCAACCAACAATTTGCAACTTGCATCCGTGTTGGTAGAAACCAAAGTTCAACTGTAATTTCTGACATAAAAATTAGACTTACCGAAATTTTCAACTGCCCAACTCTGGTCTTTGTCAAGGAATGAGCAACTCACCACTTCAGGTGTCTCGAAGAAGTCTTGATCTAATCTGGTTCTCCCTGCCCCCCTCCCGCAGGTGTCCCCGAGGTTGCAGGGTTTCCTGGAGAAGATGCTGATGCGGGACCCGTCGCAGCGAGCCAGCGCCATCGACCTGCTGGAGCACCCCTTCCTGCTCAACGCCTCCAACCCAGCCTGCATCGTGCCCCTCATGAGGAGTTTCCGGCACAGCCCCTGCTAGTCCCACACCACAAGCACAGACACAGGCACAGGCACGGGCAACACAACAAGCTCAAGATATGGTACCTCTGAGGAGAACAGCAGTCTCCAAGCAGACTCAAATGTGGCTCTAGCCTGTTCTGTATAATTTCTCTAGTCCTTTTAGTAGTGTATGTTTTCCTCTTCTTCCTAGGGTACATTACCCTAGGAAGAGAGAGAGAGAACAGAGGAAAGCACACACCATCACATCACTACAAAGGCAAGCAAAACACTGCGAAACAATCAAAGCCATACATCTCATTGGGTATATGGTTTCAGCTTGGTCTTTGTGGGGTTTGTTGTCCATGTTTTTCCTGTTTGCCATGCCCTACATCAGTTTTCTTAGCATGATTGCCATTAGATGTGGGGCAAAGTAAACAGAAAAATGTGCTTCACTGATAAGATGTACAGAGCACAACAGAAAATGTACAAAACAGGCAGAACCATGCATCTGCTTGGAGACTGCAACACACACAGCATTGCAGGGATCTTGCCATATTGCACCCTGTGCCACCTTCAGCTGGTGGCCTGTCTTTCCACAGCACAGCTCTGAATGTAACTTCTCTATCCATGACATTTGAGTGGAGTGAGCCGAGTTGTTCCGGGAAGAAAGCGCCACCCAGCTCACATACAGCAAACTGCATGGTCCTTACTAGACAGGGATTGCCTTTCGTACTGTTATATAAGCTGCATGTTGTAAGGCCCCGCTTAGATGATCTGTATACTTAAATGACAATGCTTTGACTTAATGAATTTGAAGAAGAGTTTTTAAGATATGGCAGATAGATTTCATAAAAGCATGTAAGAAGAAAACTTTTTCAGGTTTATTAGTAGTTTTTAACAACATCCCATGCCTGTCCCATGTCAGTGATTCCAAGCTCCTAACACGTCGTATAGCATACAGTCTGGACAGAATTTCCATGTTATGATCATGTACCAAACATGCAAAATCTGCTGCCCTGAAAGTGCTGATCCTTGCAGTTCTGCATCCTTCATTGTTTATGCATGTACAACTCAATACAAGTATTTTACTTCTAACCCCACTAAATCCTTTGTGGATTCAAGTATGAGTGATGATACAGTTACTTTTACAAATAGTCTAACCTAGAAACATTACTGAATTACGCTCCTATTGCCTTGCCCCATTTAAATTGTGATCTCTGTGATGCCCATATTCAAGTTGTTAGAAGACGAAATTTCTGTTCAGGTGATTCTGTACATGTAGTGACACTGCACCGCTGTCACAGCAGCTAGCAGGGGCGCGCTTTAATTTCCTGATGTCCTCAAGCTTTGTTAATAACCATTAGTTATATTACAGCATTGTATAATTACTAATAACTGCATACAATTGGTAGTAATTTTAACATTTTCTTAGATACATGAGATAATAGCATATGGTTCTTTATGAAATTGTGTCAAGATAAAAAGAGTACTAAAAGGGCAAGGAGAGAACCAATAATATGGTGGATCGGAAGGCCTTGTGGCCTGCCACATGTACATGTGAAAGAAAAGAGCGTCCTACAAACGTTGAGAACTTATATATGTATTATACCTTTTCTACAAGGATGTAAATCAGAACTAAGCCACCATTAATTGTGTGATAGGGGACTAGAAACTGACTGCTCTCCTCTTTTGGATGGCACAAATTTGGAGTACAACTTTTGAAAGGATGGAATTTTTGAGAAAAGGTTTTGAAGTACAATGTACTCTTCCCCCCTTAGCAATATATTTGTGTCCATCCCTTTTGGAGGCATGAATTCCCCAGACTTATTTTGTGATAGTAGAGTAGAATTTGTAAGATAAAAAATTGTTCTGGATTTCTGGTGCTTAGTGGGACTACAGTGTATAAGGAGATGGATGTTTGAATGAGTTTGAATGTGTACCATACTACTTTCCCTTGTCATATCATTTTGTACACTGTTTATCGGCCAGCTAAAGTTTTGACGTATTATGAGTAACCACAAGAATCTTACCTTTGCTAACCTGGATGTATATAACCAGAGGACTGAGATGAGTGATACTGTGGCATGTGATTGGCTACCGTTTTCTCCAATGAAACAGCATGATCGTGAAAATTGTGAAGGGCTGTTGTAGTTCTCATATCAATTGCCAGGTGGCATTGTTGCACACACTATTTCTCAACTGTTATTAAAAAGTTTCATCACAATCGATTTATTGATCCATTTATCAGAAGATGAAAATTAATCAGTTAACTGTTAAAAGATCTTTTCTGCTGAAGTAACCGGTGGGCATCAAGTTTGTATTGGTCACCAGGTTGTGCTGCAGGGAGAAGGTTTATCTGAAATCAGTGCAGTGTCTCAGCATTTTGGTGCTAGACACCCTCGGGCACTAAAGGTTAACTGTTAATCACTAAATGGACATTATGCAAAGCCATCTGTGCCAACACATTTCAAGTTTACATCCATTGTCTCCAGGGGTTTGTTAGCCTGGTATATGTCTTTCTGCAGCTTTGACATGCCCTTTTCTGTGGGGGTGTATATGGTAGCCAAAAGGGGAAGGATACCAGGCTAACATTTTGTGCCCCAATGGTTGTATCAGTTAAAGTTAAAGTTATACCACCCAAACAGATGTCAAATACCATGTTTGTGAGATATCCATAGACAGTCTGTGGAGTCTGTCTTTTTAGTCCTTGTTTAAATGTGATGTCATGATTTTAAGCCTTTCCTATTCACATTTTAGCACTACTCCATGTTCACTTAATGTACATATCTGTAGAAATGTTCCTTAGAAATACTTGGAACAAATGTCTTTTTCTGCCAGATACTGGAAACAAGATAATGCTTGTCAAACAGACTGCATAACGTCTAGTTGTATGTAGAATTCTAACTGTGATGGGAGGGTAGAGGTTTGATAGAGGCATCAAGTGTTATCAAGTGCACCAGCCGACGCAAATGTAGAGAAGGGATACCTGACAAACAGGGAAAATGGTAGTGTCTCTTTAGGACAAGGTGTACAGATGTATCGTAAACGTGTCACCTAAACTGCCGTGGCTTCCCTTTGTATAAACAAATAGACAATACTTTTACATAGCGACATTGTACACTACTACTACTACTACATGAACCTTGGGTAGCATTAGCCACTACTGGGGAAGGTTCTTCGTTTCAGAGATGGAGAAGATCCTATCAGTGCTTCTCATAAACAAGCGCACCTCTCCCCCTCCCAGTCTGACAGGTTTGTAGAGAATAAAGAAACACTCTTTTCACACCAAAGTTGTGTCATTTTTTTTCCTCTCATACAGACATAGTTCATACGCATCACAAGTATTTGCCAGGTGTAAATATGAGTACATTATCTCTTACAGGAGAGTCTGGGAGCCTTCATGGGTTGGGAAGGGAGTCTGGCCTTTGAAAATCTCTACGTTAAAAGGTGTTTCTGTTGACATTTTGGAGAAAAGTCATTTTGAAATGGAATTTTGCAAGCCATTGCCAGGACCATTTTAGTGTACTCTGCTCTGTATAGAGCAAGACAAATCTTGGTTTAATTTGCAACCAAATTCATGACCAAAATCTTGGGAATTTTTTTGCCTATTCTGAGTAGAATAGTTTCTAGTATGACTGGAACTTTGTTTCTGGCTCTGGCCAAGATGCCCAAAAATCTATTTTTCTTGTTAAATTGGCGTTGTTTCACCCATGAAGTTCCACAGATGTTGATATACACCATTATGTAGATATTGCACTTTTGCTTGTCCCATCCCTTGTGATAGTTTGTATAAAACAGTACAGAAGGTCATGCACGTCAAGTCCCTAACAGTGATCACGCTGGTCCCATGCCTTCTGGTAGTACACAAATCAATGACGGACTGATATACTTACTCTATACATGAAAGGTTCTTTGATTCATACAGCCTCACCAAATACACAGTAAAATACGCCGTCAATGCAACAGAACACTTACGTCCCCTGTCGGTCACTAACATGCACTGCAGCACTCGGCAACAATCACTATCATGGTTATATCAAAGGAATAGATACACTGTAGCTTAGATTCTTAGTTTGACATTTTTTCCTGCAAATGTTTCACTTTTTAGATGTCAAAATAAAGGATTTTTCTTCACACGTAATCTGCATCATACGGCTATCTCTTGGACATGCAGTTTTTCCCACAATGTTATATTACACTACAGTATTGCATCCTCCTACACGTGGTCCTACCATCTACGTAGTTAGGTAAGAACCCAGATTAGGTCAGGTAGCAGTTCGGTTAAAATCTACACATTTAATGTATCTAATATACAGAGAACTTGGCACCCTTTCGTCTAATTCAAGTAGCTTTTGTACAAGAAAGATTCCACAGCAAAGATTGTCATCAAGAAATATCTAAGAAGCTTTATCAATATTGTTTCTATTTTTTTCGTAATTGAACAGTTGACTTCACCAACAGTCAGGCTTCCTCCTGTTGAGGTATTATTGTATGAACAGCTCTGATCTTTTAAAATTTTCCCATGGAATCTTTAATGTGTGCAAGGTCTTCCAGCTTTTCAGGTCTTCAGCTATATGTGTGCTATACACAACCAAGCGGAGTCAAAACTGACGATATACAACGTATGCACGAACGATATCAAAGAGAACGGGACATAGAAACGTCATGCTTTCCTCATTGATACACGGGTCCCAATATTACATCACAAATAATATCTATTATAAGTTATTTTCCCTTTAATATCACACTATATTAATATATGTACACGGGCGATCCTCTATAACAGTGCTTGGCTCCAGCCATGTAATGATGCGTTGTCTTAGATATCTGTACCCAACTCGCCAGGCGGCGTAAGTCCTGCCTAGTGTTCACCAGACTTCTTTGGTTGCTCCAATAAAAGCCAAAGTTGGCTGAATGGGGTGAATAATTTTCCCTATTAAAGAGTTTGATCACAAACAAGTCACACATTTGCTTTGGCCCTGGTTCCAGGGATTTGCTTTCACATTTGCAATCAAAACCTCGTAACCTATGTTGGATTTTAGTAGACTAATTCCTCCGGAAAATTATTCAGCCCATATGGCCATTTTCTGCTATTTTTTTTCCTTCAACCCAAGGAGTCTGATAGAGACTAGGCCTTTCCTGAATAGTCTGTTACAACTGTCACCTTCTAAAATAGATCAAGTGGCCTGTTTCTGAGAGAACGATATTCGAGACTGCCATGATGACGTCACAACTTCCTACCTCTCATGTTCGTCGTGCATGCCCGTATTAGAGAAAACCCCTGTCCCTGGTGCTGAACTCCCACTTGCACTGGTCCGTAAACATTGATATTTGCAATTTCCGGTAACAGCTTATTAATCTTGCACATTTCCTCTGACCCTTTATGTCTCAGCTGTAGCCTGACCCAAGATACGTCATCAACTGAGGTGGATCTACATGTTATATTTTCACGGCATCTTGTACGGGAAGTTCCTAGCTCGCACCCGTAACCTATCTACCGTCTTTTCTGCGTATATCCTACAGAAATACGTCAGAAATGTCAACATCGTTCTTATACTAAAACTATTCAGTTCTTTTGCTCGTGTATATTAGATGAAAGAAATAAAAATTTTTGAGGACAGTTGGTAACTAAGTGTATCGATCATCGAATTCGCTATTGCAGAACAAACACTGCAAGATCATCAGTTAGTGTTCTGTAGTAATGCATGAGAAATGGCAACCGGTTTTCTCTCCTTGCCAAAGACACTATGAAATAAACTCTGTGTAAAGTACTGTCATTTTTAGGTAAGAATACAAAACCCATCCTCGCAATGACTGTGCCACATAAACCATAACTACACTTCCACGAGGAATCGCGGATTGACAACAGGAACATCTCCCTTTACGGGCTGGGATAAACACTGTGAAAAGCGAGTTGTGGCCATACCACCTCGTTACGGGGGGACATCTGTCTGCAATTCAAACCGCCTCGCAGAGACGAGCGTTATTCTTGGTTTTCTTCACATGTTCTCGTAGGGGGGTCCCTGGTAGCGTCTGTGGAAGTAGTAGGCCACAATCATAAGGAGGATGAGCGCGCCCAGCCCCAGCCCCACCGCCAGCGGGATGACGTCACCGTAGTGGTCAGCACCACACTCTCGTCCTGCAGGAGGAGAGAACCCGAACGATTGGTTGGCCGCGGTCACGTGTTTACGACGTTGTTAGCAACCGCCATGTTGGTTGGTTAAACACGTGAAAGTAATGTACTAGTGAGAAATGAGATGAATTTCCCTCTACCACATCATGCCTGTCATCCAACCAGCGGTCATGAGTGACCAGTCACCATATTGGATCTATCTACCCCACCAACATGGCGGCGACTGTATATATTTGTAAGTTTTCTTTTGGTCGCGTACCTGACGGCCAGGTGCATGAGAGAGGCCACGGCCAGGAACAAGCCCAAGGCCAGGGGCGCGAATAGTGGCAACCAAGGCTCGGGGCAGTTTAACTCTGGGGAGGACACATGGTGGAATGGTCCATGTACATGTAACGTTACGTGTGACTCATGAGGTGATGGTAGGGTAAAAAGTAGAAATTGTGGAAAATTATAAAATACATGTCACTTTAACATAAAAATGAAAGAAAGGATGAGAGAAAATGAGTGGGACCTTATGATTATGGCATGTCGGCGTGATGGAGTGCGTATGTGTGAAAAAATGAAAAAATATGTTTCAGGTGTATTTATCCGTTCCATAGTTTCCGTTCTTGTCTATGTTTACTTACTTGTGCCGTAGTTTCCGTTCTTGTCTATGTAACGTTATACTTACTTGTGCCGTAGTTTCCGTTCTTGTCTATGTAACGTTATACTTACTTGTGCCGTAGTTTCCGTTCTTGTCTATGTAACGTTATACTTACTTGTGCCGTAGTTTCCGTTCTTGCCCAGGTGGAAGGGCTGTATCTGCGTGTCCTGCAGGACCAGCGTGGCCTCCTCCCCGTCCGGCGCTGTCATGTCCACCTGCAGCCGGCTGGAGCACTTGTACGAGTGGCTGATCGGTGCCGAGAAGATGTCGGTGCCGGGGGCACTCATAACAGTGTGGGGGCCGGCTGTGGGGGCAGTGTGGGGAGATGGTAAGATAAAAAAAAATGTATAGCAATCGTTCTCAAGTCAAGCTCGAGCTGAAGTATATATTCTTTAAGTAGTTAGTATCAGTGCAATGCGGCTTCAGTACGGCTCACGTTTTCAGTGTCAGTACATACATCTGCAGCCCGTCCTGTCAACCTTTTCCGCCCATGGCGGCCGCCATTAAACCTTTGAACACAAGTGATGGTCTGCATCCGGAGATGATCTCATTTCCGAACTGCCACAATTTCTAATCTGGAAACAAATAGACTGAATGATATGTCATAGGAGCATACTTTGCAACCCACGGAGTCTGTCGGTAGTCCGTGGGTTCTCCTGTGGCTGGCTATGTAGTCCTATGGCCGGGTAACTCCTCTGGTATATTATTCAGTCTATTTGGCCAATATCTACTGTTTTCCAGTAACCCTGGAGTCTGGTAGAGGCAATGGACAAAGCTATGAGGTATATTTCTTGCAAATGGACGAATATTTCACTTTCATTCCAAGTTCAAAAACCCTTATTTCTCGAGTGCATTATTATCAGCACTTCATCAGGATTTCCGGTGGAGAAAGGTGGCTAAGTGCCGGCTGCCAGGTGCCGGGGGGAGATTAGCGACTGTCCCGCCCTGTGGAGAGCCGTTCACAGGCGCCATGTCGTGCCGTGACGTCAATGGCGCGAAAACACGTCATCAAACGTGTTAATCGTCGTTCCTGTAGCGCCACAAATGAATGCGGTTTGAATGTTCTGAATGCGTCGTGCTACGATGTGTCAACGTCTCCACGAGGTGACTGCTTGAAAAGGAAGGTATACATCACAGAGCTCTATTCTGTAACTGAATACATTCTCACCTGTGTTAGATTGAAAGTGACATTTATTTTCTTGAACCGTTCTCGTTAAGTTTCCTTAATGTTGCATTATGGGCAAACTTTCTGCCATGTCTGTGGCTACAGATAACGTACACACCACAAATTTGCTAGTCTCCACCAGGCTAACAACGTACTAGGGCTGAGGGATAATGATTTGCCGGATTGTTAGGGAAAGGCACGTAGACATACGTTGCACCTGAAGCCACAGCGACAGATAATAGGGCTCTTTACTTTCGACCATGGTGCATATCCACAAATGTACAGTTGCACTAACCCCTACAGGCCACATTAACACTCAGTGCCAACTCATCCCCGTTTCACGACGGCCACTATCATTAGAGGTTATGTCCATCCGCGACTGAAATCCCTGAATTATACGTTATAACTGCAGGGTAATGGGATGGCCATGAGATATGACATAACGGTTATATGTTTCACCGATCTGCAGCGCTCTTCCCGTTTACATTGTCATACATGACCAATGGGCAGTTAGCCGGCCCCACATAACGCATTTTAGCGAGGGACATAACACTGATGTCCTATTACTTCGCTTTGAATGGGGTCACTGCCACAGTATGGCAGTATGGCACCCGCAATAGACAGCTTATGACATGCCTTAAGCAATCACGAAGAAGCGGGATGATGGGTTGGGGCCTTTATATCATTATTAGCCATTACAGGTTTCGGTACCAGGCTAAACATTCCTAGGCACTCTAGCTCCTGGCCAATCTCATCGTGGCAGTCAATAGGCAGACAAAGCTAGTGGAAAATGCGCAAGATGGTTTATTAGAGGGCGGCAGATCTGACATTTCGGCGGTGTCCGCGTCCCTCCATCCCTCCATCCATCTTGATGTTTATCTCCTTCCGGAGGCAGCCATGTGAGGAGACGGTGCGTCAGTACCTCAACAAGTTCGTAAGAAAAGAACCTGCGCGTGAGAAATCTCAGGAGACGCTCCGGGAGGAAAGATCCGAAGATGATCTGAATCCGTGCAGGAGGAAAGTCAGGAGAAGGTTAGGAGTACCGTGCCGCCCGGGCTGATCCGGCCCGGTACAGAGGGAAGATGGATGCACGGGCGCGGTGCGGAGGACTCTGATGGATGGAAGGGGTGATAAGGCAAGACCATCTCTCACCACTTGCGGCTCACGCTTCAGAACTCCGTTCCTCTAGACTTGCGGCATGTTGATGCATGAGTACCAGTTCTCCTCAAAGTCTTCAATCATTCAAACTTCAATAGAATCTTCGAGAGTAGTTTTCAGAACTTGGCAATGCGAAGTTGGCTTGAGTAGAAACGCCATAATGGGCACCAACCACTAGACGCTGGTCGCTGAGCGACCTTAGTGCAAAACAAAATTTGATTTGTGACCCTTAATGGGATATGATGCACGATTTAAAGCTTTAAGTATGATTTTAAAGACAACATACAAAACGTGAAACAGATTCGTTCTTTATCTATGAAATTCCGTGAGTGACCTGTCACTATGTTTGGTTGCTCAGCGGTCGCAATCCCTAGTGGAAAGGGAAAATCTTTATTCAGACGACGTTCATGTTTCCATCTGGTTTTAACATCAATTTGCAGCGCGCCATTCCCGCCGATACCGTTCCTAATCCGTGCTGTTGGTGGGACGGTATTAGTTTCCGCTGGATGGAGCCCGGAGAGGCCACGGCTCCATCAAAACTCGTGATGAGAACAACATTACCCGAAACAAGCTTTACCAGAATTATGTATAAGCTCTGGTGCGCTTCGAACCCAGGATGAAGCTTTATACGAAATATATATGCAATAGGGTCACCTAGAGGCATGTCGATCCGGGAGATTTATAGGCTCAAATTTTGGACAAGTTGTTGGTCGGACGGAAAATGACGTCATGCTGCCCAAACCAAGATGGCGGCCATAAAACATCACAAGCAAATGGGATTATGGCATTTCTTTGTAATCAACATCCGATCTGCTCCAGAGCAGCCTTGATGGAGCGTAAGAAAATAAAATGATAATGAGATCTCTTTGTACTGAGACGTCTCCAGGTGATTTACCGGTGTTGTTTCCTTGACACGGCTGCTGAAGGACACGGTGTCCTTGGAAACCCTGCCGAGGTTGAGCAGCTCTATAACTCAACCGCTAGGTAACGTCAAACGTTACAAACCCTCTCAGCACACGGCGGGGTCTCGGGGTTCTCACATCCGAAGATCATCTAGAATCAGTGCCCTTTTGTCACCCGTATCCACATCTTCTTTGATCTCCAAGCAGATTTTTGGTTGTACTGTTGTATTGTTTTCTGATTGACGCGCTTCTGTTGGGATGGAGAATTCTGTTAGGAAAGCTCGGCACTCAGAAAACGTTACTGTCTTCCACCTCTGCTTGGACATTAATATTCATATTTCTGTGCTGCTCTTTTGTGAAGCAAGTACAGACATCCGCACCAACATTCGGGCCCATGAAAGCTCCGTACAATAACGGCGGAACTGTCCGTGATGCTGAAACGTGAGTAAATACAGGATGATTCTTTCCCGATCCTAACTACTGAACGTATGTGAATAGAATAGAATGAAATAACATAGAGTAAAGAAGTAGAATTCCTACTTGCCACAACTGAAGTATCGCCAGAACGACGTCTACATTATATTTCAACGGGTCGGCTGTAGAAGACCCCTACAGTCAATCCTAGCTATTTGAACAACAGAGACGAAGGAGATAAATATGCGTGCTAACTGATAAAACCTCTTCCCGTTACTTTACTTGCACCTCACGTCTAGTCTCGTGACAAATACCCGAATCTAGCAGGACGACTCAGTACAGCATCTGGACGGATTGCTAAACTTACCGCCGGTTTTATGCCATATATTGTCATTAACACTAGAATTACGTAAGGAAGCACTAGTGGATCGCAATGTTAAAGAGATCCAGTGCAGCGGAGGATACGATATGAGTTCAGGTACATATTGCCAAACATTTCAGGGATAATCATACAGAGTGGTGCCGTACTCAACGACACCATCATATCAACGGCACAGCGGGATAGGGTGTACAGTACAAGCCATATAAGATAAATCTCCAATACAGAAAAATCGAGGAAGAGATTAAATACCACAGAGTTAAACAAGGTAATCTGGGTATGGGGCACGGGAAGTTATAATCGATAATTATTATGACTACGATAATGATAAAATGGGCTGGATAGTCATCAATTTTAAGTTACAGTTTCAGACAGTTTCAGACAGCCCCTGACTCTTTTGTACACAGTGAATCAACTAAAATTTGTTATAGCTATGTATGATTATGCCAAAAATGGCAAGGTATAGATATCCAAGTTATGTAAGAGACCTCTGTCTAACCTTGTCTATCTCAATTAAATAACTTAACGAATATGAACGAATAATGCATTGCTTGTACCTAAGTAACGTTATTGAAAGAACACGATCGCGAGTTGCATTCAACTGCCCCAGTCGACACTGACTGAGATTCAGCTGCAGAGAAGACAAATCAATCATTTCGTCGTCTTGCTTGCTAGTTCAGTTTCAAAGCCATTGCTTCGCATTGTTCAGTTCCATTTCAATAAAGGCATGCTGATTGATGACTCAATTACTACCATTTTCGCCACGCTTGCGAGGCGCACTAACCAAACTTCTGGCCTGCCGACGATCCATCCCAAACTTTTCCATTTACGCGTTTGAATCTTGTGACCCCCCAAGTGACGCAGGAAAGCAATTTGAGAGGCAGCCATGCACGGCCTATCGCGTCACATCGGGGTTATTCTATTAACAAAGTTAAGTGGGAAATTTCAGGGGATTTCTGAAAGAGGAAGGCAGGGATTTGTAGATAAAAGACGTGGACAAAGGTGACAGGGCAGGGACATGTTAGGGAGAGATATCTCTGGACTAACCCCCCCCCCTTTTAATAGGTTTATGCTATTTCTTAACGTTATAGTTAAATATTGGCTGAATACGATGGTTAATCCACTGCATATCCGTTGTATCACCATGCCCGTTTAACCTTCAACCTTAAGGTAGCTGGATTATACCAAATTTGTATTTGTTATATGGGGTTAGACAGCGGGGGGAACGTTAAGCCATGTGGTTCCAAAGTTTTGGGTGATCCTATGTATTTCAAATCCAGGCTCTAAATACACACAACGTTTCATCCGTCGTTCCACCCGGCAAACCACAATGCAATCTGGCTTGAGCTGATTGCCCACTTCTTCATTACCACCATCATTATCCGGCAAACTAGGACCATTTTCTTTGATGTTGTTGGTCCAAGAGATTGGAGACGGGATCATGAGTTTTCCATTTATCGTTCCCAGTTGACTAACCACGCCCAACTAATGTTCCCATTGGTCTGATCAAACCCACTCGTTCCCAAAGGACTCATTGCACTCACTCGTTCTCAGCGTATTAGATTTTGCTCACTCGTTCCCCGTGGACTGATCACATTCACTCGTTCCCAGTGCGCTAATCGTACTTACTGGACAGAGGCTTGACGAAGCTGGCGTCGTTGGTGTCGTACTTGAAGTGCACGCCTGAGACCAGCCACGACGTCTTGCTGCCGTTTGTGCTCTGGAGAGAAAAGATGGAAGAACTAAGGCCACAGGGAGGACATGAAGAATAACACAATTATCACAATCGCAACAGCTCGCAAAAATTTTCCTTTCTTCACCAGGCCTTTTATACAATAAATTAACCTGATAGGCACATAATATCTTGATAATGACGTTTATCAGCACATGTGCATTTGGATCACATGTGTACATTTGGATTGTAGATTTTGATACGAGATGTATGTGTAGGACATTGGTTTAAATGTTTGAATGGGGTAGATTGCTAGTTTTGTTCTCTTCCGGGTCGCGCATCGTTCACATCCGGTTCAGGTTTTGTCCACATCCGAGTCAGGATTGCTTCCAACCGGTAGTGAGTAAGCTACACGCCATCTACCGTCAATAGACAATACGTGCTGCTGGATACAACACCGCAGACTATATCACTTAAACAGTAAAAGTGTGTTTCTCTAATCTCTTAGTTTGGCGTTATTGTATGGACACCCCCATTCTGAAGTCTTCAGCAGAGTGAAGCTCCACTCAGGACGCACAAGACATGGTTATTCACATACATTAAGAGCAGAACGGCAGCTTAGTGCATCACCACGCCTGCGTATCCACGCCGGAAGTCATTAGAATCCTGTCGACAAAGCTTCTTGGTTTAAACAGTCTCGAAATCTGGTTATTTAAATGTTCTTTGACAAATAATTTCCAGTGGCGGTCTATGTCAGTCCACTCCTGTCGATTTCCGGCTGAATTTTCGTTGAATGCTCGGTGGAGTAAAGTCCATGTCAAAGCCAATTTAAACAACATTAAGTTATTGTTTCAGTCATATCTTTTATATCGACAATACCACTTCTTAGCGGATTCGTTCGAATCTAGGATCTTATTGTAAATTCAAAAGCGGTGCAACGCTTTTCATTTATAACAAGTAATAGCCGACTGACGTTTCCATGCAGTAACAAGCTTACTATCCACGCTTTCCGTTAACCGAATCCCTTGAGCTCCTTTCTTAGAAGTGATTATTAGGGAAGAGGTACTTTCAAAAGCGCCTCTTTATGCCCCTCATAACGTTAGATACAGACTGCGCGCGCAGGGATTCTTCTTAGCACACGTTGAAGCAGAAATAATCGATGTTATAGTGACTGCGCAGATACGACTGCGTTACTTCAATGGCATTTTCAATTCTGTTTGGTGTCTTTACTTCTGCACTTAAGCCTTCCACGCTTTGCTTGGATGTACAGAATATTTGCCGGCCACTTTGTATTCTAGGCGGTGGTACACAACCTCTCACAGTTAGGGGCTGATTGGAGTTCGGGTTAGAGTATTCAGGCAGATATATATCGTCAACTGCAAAAACAAAGGCTGATAGTATTTTATACGAAGGGCTAGTATACAGATAGTAATAGCTTTAGATATCATAAAATATCCAATACCGAGTGTAACAAGCAATACATATTTGTCCAGCTTGACACAGGTGAACCTAGGCTATCTTTCAGTATTATTTACCCCGCACATCGGAACAGTCTGACAGGTTTATGCCGAGGCGCATATTGATTAGAACTGCCGAGTATAAGAAGGGCGCGACCCTCCTCCGCCGCCTGCCAAGGCGGAATGATGAACAATGGGTACTGATATTGATATCGTTTGATCGTTATAAAATACAATTCATTTCAGTCCATTGACATTAATTCCACAGCATCAGACATGACAAAGACATTCCGAAGGGACAGGGTCAACAGTATGGAGACATCACATCATGATAATGAAATAGAACACTACGGTGGCCCACACCTACATATTTCGCAGGAGGGCAAGGGAGCGCCGGTGGGGATTTAAATAGCTGCAGCAGATGACATGTCTGCACCGCCTTGGTACAGGTGAACATAGGTCTGCAACTTAACGAATATAATGATTATGTTCCAGTAGTGGAAAGTGCATTTTAAAAGGTATTCTAATACACTGTTATGGATTTTTAATATTCTATTTATACATGAATAACATGCTGATAAGACGGAGCTATTAAATGATGAAGGAACATTGTACCTGCACTTCAGCTTTCCTGTAGTTTTATAAATACGAAAGACGTTAATGTAAGTCACACGGTCACATTTTGGTATAACAAGACCTAGGCAACTCAGGGCACTGTTCGAGATTTAGAAAAACTGACGCTTTAAACTTTCTGAGAACGAATGTTCAGTCGAGGCACGAAAATGGCCAGTAATATTAATGACATCCCCTGAGGCTGTGTCTGGCTTGATTGTCCCCGGTGATGTTTCCGCCAAGAGTCTGCCATCCTTCCCTTGTAACTTATAATCAGCGTTAGACATCTTACATTTTTATTATCAGTCTTAGACATCATACTTACGGCTCAACACTACAGACGTTATCGACATCCTCGGTGGCGTTAGAACACTATTTGATTGATGACCTTTTCAAGTTGCGTGAATCAATAAATCCTAAGCTGGTGACGATTGATTTTAGACTTTGATTTTGTTTCCGTTTGGATGACATGGTGACGTCCCCTCCGGACCTGCGTGTTTTGTTAAATGTTATTGTTTGCTTGCACATAACAAGTATGGTTAAAAAACATATATACATATGACAACCATGTTGGAGTCGTCCCCGTCCTTGGTGCTGAATTGGTAGTTCTGTTTTTTCGCCTCCGGGAAACACTTAATGCAGGGACGTACTTGCGAAAACTTGGCTTGAAATGGATCGGGAGCTTTGCACTTCAGAGCGTGAGATGATGTCTAAAACTATCGGCAGATTACTCGTTGGCCTTTCAAGGAAAGATGAAAGAAACATTCGCGCAAATTTTCTAAGGCCTAGGAAAAAGTTTCCGGTTACCCGACCGATCCTAGAACATTTTTGTTTGGTCGACCGCTGGCCATAAAATTTTGATCTGATATCTTACTTTAAAGCCCTCTGAAACGTTTTAAGCATTTTTGGAAGCAAGAATCCCTACCTACCGACCAAATTAATTTCCCTAAGCCTGCCCCGGTGCCCCTGTCCGGATGGGAGCCAGCCGTGTCACGGGTACCTGATGGTTCGCCAGGAGCCTTCGCGTGTCTGCCCGCGCTAAAACCGTTCCACACGCCAGGACTATCAAGAAACGCTGCTGAGGGCAAGTTTCAACAGCGATTCCTCAAGATAAGGCGCCTGCCAAAAAGTCTTACACTTGACGTTCTTGGTAATCATGATGTAATGACGCATTAAGCACGAATACTTTTATGTTGGCTCATATTCCGTTCACGGTCCAAGAATAGAGGTCATTTGTTAAGGATAAAAACGTGAAACTTTTACATATGATTCCTGTCGGCCAATGGAATGACTCGCTTTCAATAACCTGGGCCTCAAAAATACGACAGGTAGCAGCACAGTAACAGGTATCGGCAATAATCCTCTCGGTTTGAGCACTGTTATAACCGCCCGGGTTGGTCCTGCCGTCGCGACTACCCAGCCGTTTTGTGCCCCATGTCAGATGCCATTACACGGGTGCACTGCGCCATTCCCTCTTCATGGATGGTGCGGAGATCCTCCCCAACAACCGCTATAAAAGCAGCACCCTACCATTTACTGGAAACTGCCTAAAGACACTTCTTCTGAATAACCCACACGGGAGGAAAAACAGCGATACGGTTGATATAAGACCTTATTATTCCGTCCAGCATAAAACTGCTATCAAAAGTTTATGGGCTGAGAGATTCAAACTGCTGCTCTGAAGCCTTATATACATACCTCTGGACATTTTAGGCAATACGTTACAATGGTTTCTCTTGCAATGGTAGATCATAGACTGTCATATATGATGAGGCTATGAAAGGGTTTTTTGCTTCATCGGCAAGCATACAGGTTGCTTGACTTGGCGTTGCTTTGGAAGGTACGATTGGCCACCGGACAATAGATACTTTTGTCAACGTCTATATCACACGAGAAAAAAGAGCTTGAGCCTGTCGTGACTCTAATTTACCAATTGATAATAAACGGACGGAGAAAATGACACATTTCAGGACGGTTGTGTAGCAGACTAGACGTGTACTCACCACGGAGAAGAAGAGCTTGAGTCTGTAGCGGCCCTTACTCCAGCGCAGGTCCATGACGGCCGGCTCCTTGTCCGTGCCGCACCTCCCCGTGATGACAGGCCTCTGGGGCAGCTCCAGGGCCGCCTGGTCAACCGTCCGCTGGGAGACGGCAAACAGACGGATCAACAACAGAACGAACGGAGTAACTAGAGTGAATAGATCAGATGTACAATGCATGAAACGTGCGGATTATAAATTACTGTTGTTATCACGTTTTTGTTTAAACATAACGTTATGACTTAGACTATCAAAATGTTTGTGTTTGCGTGCGCGCGCGCTCGTGTGTGTGTGTGTGTGTCCAATTTTCATCCTTGCTGAATATATTTTAGTTTATGTTTTCTGTAATTATATGGGCGGAAAACAGCAATGCCGTACATGTGACAGCCGGTATGAAGCTTGATAGTCGCCGCTCCCTAAAACCTGTTCAGCATTCAGATCATTGAAATAAAGTATCTTTTTTTAACATTAGCTTCACTTACAGCCTGATCGATTTCAGCCGTAGTATATTAGAAATATCGGCTGCTACCTCACGTGTAGAACGATCTAATGCTACGGTACGGCGTGCATTGACCTCCGCGCGGGAGAAATGTGGTTTTGAATGCAAAACCAGCATCGATTCCCCTCGCCTTTGACAACGCTAATCAATGAGTTAAGGGTTTCCAAAGCTGCGAATTAAAGACCATCAGAACCTTTTTTCGTCAGACAGGTGCAAATTTACCGCACTCAAAGCCGATTTACGGGTTCGCACTTCAGCTGAAAAGTGGAATAATCTACATCGACCGTCCGTAGAGCCAGCTTGTTGGGAAACGTTAAGTATTCCGCCTGGAAACTATTTCACACAGCGGGTGGTTAAATATTTATATCTGCACTTGGAAACTTTCTGCATATTCCCTGGCTTACCGCGTATGTGCATCATACATACCTCGTTAATTCGCGCTCCAAGGAAGGGACCGTAACGGCAATGAGCAGTGAGAGTTGACAATGTTCTTCGAGGTCATTCCTTCCTGCATAATTGTATGATATTCGTTTTCCTAGTGTCTATAACTATCATTTTTACTGCGGTTGCAGACCTCAGTTCCCATTACGATGCTTTTTCTTCTGGGTATGAAGAGAGCTAAAACCGATGTACAGATTACAGATGCACAACGCGATTTAGGACAGTGTATTTTAAAATTGTTGTAAGAAACAGGGTGAACATACTCCTCAAGTACCTCAGCCTTACTCTGGCATTCACGGTTTCCTGTTCCATGATTGCCGACCAATCTTCCGCCAGATCCCGGCGTTACACGGACCGCATGATTAACAATTGATTGAATTCTCCACACGAGTTATCGACGATACGGCATAACAGGCGGGGATTATCGACGTTTGCGCCGTCCTGCAACCGTGAAGGTTAGGTGAAGTTTCCCGGATCGAACCAGGGAGCACGTCATCTCTAGCAGTGTAGTACATGGTGTATGTACAGGTGTAACAGGAAAGACTATACCCCTTGCCAGACTTACCTATGTGTGATATGCAAGTGTACTTCTTGCATAGGCTTCTTGCATGTGTACTGTAAGGCAGTGTAGTACATGCAGCCCAGAGCTCGGACACACCCTAGTCTGTTGGTCTTACCTTTCCTCCGCGCTTGGACTGGTACCAGATGCTGAGCCTGGCGTTGAAGGATCCCCGCACACAGATGGACCCGTTCTGGTCCTTCACCACGTAGTCTCCCTTAAAGATGCCTCCGGACCGCGGGGGCAGGGTGGGGGTCGGGGACGGCGCCGGCAGGGGGAGGGGGGTCGCCCGAGGGACGGGCACCGCTGGCTGCGGCGGCTGTGGAAGCAGAGAGATTGTTGGTCTATAAATAAAGATGGAGTGTCATCAACATAGGGTTTCACCATGAAACAGTGAAAACAAAAAAATCGGGAATTTCATACTCCCTGAAATGGGCTTTTGTGAATCTAAAACACCGACATATATACATCGCTATCCCAACATTGACAAGCTATCATATTGCAGTACATAAAGTTTGGTTTTAGCCATTCAAATGGTGGGTTTAGGTTTTAGTACCCTCAAGGTTCTTTCTTACCAGGAGAATTCTTTCATAAATTGTACATTTCCTGCGGCCGGCATATCAAATCGAATTGAGGATCATCACATATTGCACGGATATTGCCGTGGTATGTGAAAAGAACAATTCCTTCCATTCTTCATGAGAGGTCCGGTCGATTGCGGACAGTCGGAAAGTGATCGGGTTAATATCCGCGGGATATTCGGTGCTGAATAACGCATTTTGTCATCAGATTTCAAAAGTGACCCCGGCTGTAGTCCCAGGAAAAGGATAATGACGCTGGGACAGTTGACAACCGGATCGTAAAGAGGAGTTTCTAAGCAAGTTCAGTAGCAGCCATTCCATCTATACATATCATTTGAGCTTTTTATTCTATCTTTACCAAGTAACAAAACCAGAGGCCATTTTAAAGTTACGGGTTACATGAATAGGTCTGAAAAAGCATCTCGCCTTCTTCATTTCTTGTTACGTCAGATGGATGGACCACTACGGAACTTCAAACAGCCCTTCCCTAGACCCCGCGCCTCCCCGTGATACCCAATCTGGACAGTTTGAGGGTAAGCAAGAAGAGAAAGAGGGAGAGCTCGCAGGATGACAGTAAAAATGTGCCACCAGTCACCACAGCGTGCCTGTGGTATCGGCAGCAGAGCTGGATTTATGGATCTATAACGGTGACGGGTCGCCCCGCGATGAGCGGAATATTTCATTTCCCACCGTTAAGGCAATACGGCTTTTCAGCACAGCCGAGCACGGAATCGATTCTCCGCGGTTTCTTGTTGAGTTGACTGACATTTGAGACGTTTTGGATTCGGGGTTGCCATGATTCGCTGGAAATTGAAAACATGTTTTCTTGAAATTCTATAAGATTTCCGACGGAAGCCCAGCGCTTTGTTTTTGTTATTTGCCGTTTTACCATGAAGTTTACGAGGTTTGATGGTGCGACAAATGTTGTTTCGTTTCTTTCATAGCGCGTGTCATTGCTGCAATGTTGTGTTTTCATTTCCGCATTTGTGTGCAAGGTTGGAAGCTATTGGCAATGTTTTTTTTTCGTTTTAGAACAGTATTCACCCTTGTATATGTTGTCCTAGATTCTTCTGAAATACTTGCTTGAAAGTTTGAACCTGTTCTGTAAATGTTAAGTAAAATATCTATACAGCTACAGGACAGAATAAAAACAACATGATGTACAGGGGCCATGCTTTTACAAATGGCTTTGGAACTTGCTTGAAATGTATTCTTTCCATCACATTTCCCATGAAGTTTGATTGGGCAACAATGAGTCGTCCTACCTTTGGGTTCTGTTGAGCAGGAGATTGATCTTGAGTCTGCCCTTGGCCTTGAGGCTCGGTCTGTGACGATGTTTTCTCCTGTGCTTCATAGATCTGTGAGGCGGTCTGTCTGGCGGGCGGGTCTGTGGGCACCAGGATGACCGGCACATGCCGCTGCGTCCCTCCAGCCTGTCCGGACTGTCCGCTGCTCTGTCCCGCCTGGCCGCCGGTCTGGCCACCCGTCTGTCTTGGTCCGCCGGTCTGGCCTCCGCCGCCGGTCTGGTCCGACGACCCGCCGAATTGGTTGGGCACGACGCGCGGCGGCGGCACCGTCGTCGTCACCGGCTCGGACGCCTGGTTGTTCTGCGGTCCCGCCGACGCCTTCCAGCTCCTCGGCCTCTCCTTGGGAGCCTGCGCGTTCCTGGCGGGAGGAGGCGGGGGCGGCGGGTCGTCCACGGAGTAGCCGATGGGCGGGCTCTGGTGGGACGAACGGATGGTTGGATCGTGCACGGACGTGTCGTGCTGAGCGTACGGGTCGTGCTGACCGTGCCACGGCCTCTGCGGGTTGGGCGGCGGGCGGGATTCACTGTGGTTCGGGGCTCCAGACACGATACCTGCAGACGTGACAGAAAATTAGGCTGTCATGAATTTGCCATTCCCATGTATTTTTATCAAAACATTGTAATACCGGTGTAGCAGTCAAATTATACCCTTGGCGAAGACTGTATCCAAGTATCACCAGGCCTGTTACACCGTGGTAGCATCAGGTATATTTGGTATTCCACATCCCCATTTACAAGAGTCAAAGCATGTCGTACGCTCCAACGTGAATTATGGGGTGATTGTTACAAAACAATAATACAAACAGGAAGGTAATCTGTTCAACAGTCTGGGTCCACGCAGGGAACCGTTGGAGCTGATGAAAAAGTAATTACTTCACGGTATCAGCTATTCCTCAATGTCTACTGTTGTAGCACACAGGGAGTGCAGACGAGGAGACAGGAGAGGAACCCGTGACGAAGAGGACATGACCTACGCAGGGTTCGCCTCTAATGTAGCTTATCGACTGCAAATTACTGTACTGACGTCATGACTTACGTAGTTACCGGCTGCTGCATCGTGTTTTGGACACGGCAGAAATGCACAGCACATAACGGTATCTATTCGCATATATCCCTTATCAGCTAGAAGTTATTTTTCTAATTGACTGACATCCGCTTGTCTCCAAAACTGCTTTCCTTGGTTCTGCCGAGTTTCGGCCAATTGCAACGTATTTTAGCCGTCAGGATCAGAACTCGGTAGCAATCATAAAACAGAAAGCAATCCGCTCATACAAAACAAGAATGACAGAACGTCGACATCGGTGCTTGCTAAGGAGGTCAGAAATCCACCTTCTTGGGATTTTGAACCTCAGACATAACGAATGTGGAAGTGAAATTGCTGTTACGTCACCAAACTGATCCCCCATAAAGGATCCTGGATAAAGTGGTTCATTTCTTCCCATAGATATTTTCATGAATAGAGAGATTTCAATGTCTAAAATTCAGCGCTAGCTTTTGTTGCCAGACGGCCGCTCCATAACTCACTCGTCTCCGTCTGACGGTCACATTTCCCCGCGAGCCAAACGTGAATTGGCGGATAATTCATGAGAAATTCAATTACCGACCGCTGCCACTCGCCCCCTGTCAAATATCAATAATTCAATACAGCTCACCGCAAATGCCGCCATAACTCTCTTTCTTAGTCAATTGTACCCCATTTTCGGCTCTTAAAACACGCGTCAAAGCGGTAAATATAATCATATTTCGCTGCGAATAGCGGTGCCTGTTCCGTCCCTGGAGCGCCGTGCCAGAAGTGAAACAGTAACGCAGTGTAGTGATTTCTAGACTGGACGGATCATCAGGACGGACAGTGTTTTAGCTGGACATGGCGTTTCGCGTCAGTCACACTCGACACAGATCCATTTGTTTGTTAATCAGTGTTCAACTTTATTGAACTAGACGTCGTAATTTCCGACATGCAGACGATAAACAACCTTCAAGCATACTAAAACATGCGTGTAATTGATGGCACAACACATGCGCGCGGCTGTAGCACGCAGTGCGGGAAACGCCCATGGCGAGCCAGAACCAGCCCTGAGGTCCTGCCATTGTACTTGGTTATTAACTACTGCTTTGTATGAAAAAAAAAACAATATGTAGGGGCGGATATAGGTACACAACATCTGTTTCTTTGGAACTGTATCGTTCTTCACAAAGACCGGTAATAGTAGACTATTGGACAGAAGGTTGTGGATGTTTTTCTCCCAACTTGGTCCCCACTTCCCTTCCAACATGGTGCTCAAGTGTTGGATGACGTACGTAGTAGGATGACCAATAGCGTTTAGTACTTCCAAAAGTGGAAAAACCCATATGTCATGCTATGATATAAGTAGACCGAAAAATTACACAACGCCTGTGTTTTAGCACTTAAAAACATACGTTTAAATACGTTGTATTTTTTCGGCGAAAATTTTCGCCCCACTCGCCAACGTAATCAATGAGCATTTTCCCCTGTTTTCTCTCAGACATAAGATCAGTTTCACAACGTCCCTGATTATAGGACGTGAATACAATACTTCAGTTCTGATAAGAGCATCTTTAATATTGTTTGACACCTCTGCTGTAGAGACGAGGTCAACACGCCCATGTTTGTTATGCGGGGCAGGATAACTGTAATCAGCGCGGCGTGGAGGGACGGAAACACGGGCCCGCCGGATGAGGCCGCGCGCCGCGGGGCACAGCCAGCGCCTGGACCGGCTGCACAGCAGAGATAAGACACGGGATAACCAGATAGAGATAGCACGGCATCCTGGCGGTAATAGGAACATTGGCTTGTCCTACTGAAGAACCTTTAACATTCCCTGAGTGAGCCGTAATAACAACCAAGATCTCAGTACCGAGGACGGTCCTCTCTTTGTTTCCTTATTTGGGCAAGGCTGACGTCCTGATCGCCATTACAGAAATGCTAAACACGTTTTTTTACAGGGAAATGGACCCTGCTCTCTTTACTTGAACCATCTGTTATCGTCAAACTAAATGGCAAATAGATACTCCAGAAGCATCGTCGTCAACAAGAATGCCCAACAAGATGGACCGCACTTCGATCGGCGTCAAGATATCCCACATGCCGTACACGTAGGCCACGTTTTAGTCGGCACTAATCTATAGACGTGACAAATTTATTTTTCAGTCAGACGGTCAGAAGGATTAAAGAGTGAAAGGCTGCAATTTCCTCGCACTTTTAAACGGCTATTCTGGTGAGGATGAAATATTCCCGCCGCTAAAATAGCCCAGGATGACCTGTCTCATTCGTCATTCATCTACTCTCAAATACCCGCTCACAGCCAGCAATGAATGCAGCTACATAATAGGGCTGTTCTTTATTTTTCAGTCGTCTCGACGTTACTTCGATGTAGAAAATCCAAAGATCAGTTGACTGCCGTTACACTGTGGCCTTCCATCAATCTATACTACTCGTGGAAAAGGGACTACATTAAGTGAGCAAGAGAGAGTTGCACTTGAATGGCCTCTTGCAGCTATTTTCGACCACATTTGCGTGACCACTTCAATTAGAACGAGTACTGCAGAGGTGTTATACTTAGATTCTGCATGATTTACATGATACGCTGCTCATACGAAGGTGCAGTAGACTAGAAAGACGATAAAGGAGCGGCTTTCGTCACTCCGTTCCGGTTGGAGGATGATGTTTGTGACGCATTTCTCTGTGCTCCACACGTCCTTATGGTACTGCAGAAGGATAGGATCATTAAGGGAATGCTGAGAGGGTTGGATGTGTACTGTTTTTGGAAAAAGATTATTTTTAACTCGTCCTGAAGAACGCAGCGGGACCTTTTAATGGAAATGTAAAAGAAAGATTGCCGATAGTGATTTCAACTAAATGAAAGATCTTAAAGTGTAAACATACCTTTAATAAACGATACTGTACATTGTACATAAGCAGAAATTATATTAGGGCATAGTTATTCAGTCCTAAGCTAATTGACGTTTAGATAACGTAATTTAATAATTGGTAACTTCATGTGACCCAATGTTTTATGCGTACTGTGTTAAATAATAGGCGAGATTCGGCTTCGGACTGCAAGTCTATTGATGAATAAACTATTCCTCTACATCTACTTAACTGACCTTCAACAGTCATCTAAACGACAAAGAATCCTAATCCTGGAACGGTAGTTAATGCATATAAAAGTGGGGCGGATTTCGTTACTCAGGATCGAAAATCGATGAGCTTTTTGAGAGAAGCCGATCGGGCTTAGCCGCGTATTGCCTGCCGCATATCTCCGGTCGGCTCACAGGCAACATTGCAGCGAGACCACTGAATGTTTCAAGCGGGAAACGTAGGGGCTTTAAGGGGGACTTCTTCACTTTCCACAAATTGCCCGTCGGCTCAAGAAGTCTATACTTATACATTTGTAAAGCTTGTTTTTTTATTACACACGGGTAAAGGTGAACCTGTATTCGTACCACTGAGAACTCGCTCATGACCACTTCTACGCCTTTTCTATTTCACTGAAGTACAAGTTCTTGACGACTTATGTGATATCTATAGCTATATTTTTCTCATCAGGAGCCCTGTGTACATACATGTGATGGCACATACTGTGGTTCATTTGCATTCCCCCTGATGTGCACATGTAATGAATATAAATATATATAGTATTGCCTGTCGATTGAACACAGAAATGTTGTGTTTTTCACGCAATCGTGACTTAAATGCACAAGAAAAATTGCTCATTCTGACACTAATAATTTCTAGATAAAACTACTTCCATTAGGCCGCTTTATCAATGCATGACTGTGTACAGGGCAGGGTGGATGTCGGCAGTCACACAAAAATATGTTTCAGCACAGGAACACCGTTATCTTCAACATACATGATTCAGATAGGAGACACGAGGACCAGATGACGATAAACACGGCATCCCGACAGTAATAGAAACACTGTTTCGGCCAGATTGTCATGTTAGACACACCACAAATATAACATCCCGGGAGGGTAACAACAACAGCCGCGTGTTCAGAACCAAGGGCGGTTATGTTTCCTTATTTGGACAAACAGACGAATGTTATTCCCTGGTCTCTATTCCAAAGTCAGATCCGACCTCCCGCCTGATGACGCACGGGATCGATACCGGTGGTTTTCCGCCACGCCTCGCTCTCGCCGTTTGCTGGCGCAGATCTGTCCGGGAGAGTCAGATAAGATGGAAACCCTGACGAGTACAAATAAACCGAGCCGAGTGCGCCAATACTTGGTGGCGCAATCACAGCTACTATAGATACATGTACCAGCAGCTTTGGCTTTTTTTAGTCAGAGATAAACGAAGATAACTAAGAGTGCGCTTATGGAATATTAAGCAGTCAGTGAAGTCTGCTAATCACTCAACAGTTATGAGAAAGAGTGTGGGAGTTGAACGCACTCCATTACCAGTGGACTAAACCTCTACTGTAGTGGCCCAAAGGAGATGGGCATCGCTGGACATCGCCCCCTTACGTATACACCGAAACGTTCGGGAAGGAGTTTTTAAACTAAGTAGGACAAACTTGGACCACGT